TTAATACTGATGTCAACAAACTTATGTTAAAAAACTCACATGCTGTTGTGTAAGCCTAGAACATAGTCATTTTAATGAATCAATGATGTTATCAGCTAGTTAGATTTTACCACTTAGCGAGAATAAATATCGATAGATAAAGAAATAACTAACGAGTTGCATTTTCTAAGAAAATAAACGAATTATGACCAGATAATTTGCATATCATTTCCCTTTTCTGGCTTCGACTTTTCTTACTTTTATCTTTTCAATAAAGGATTATCCTACTTGTACATCAGAATTTACGCCCTTTTTTCTTCCGCCAATGATGAAATATCACTTGGCCATTATGTACACCTGAATGTGAACCCTAATGTACCTGTAATATAAACCTTCGATAAATAGGTTGGAAGCGTGACAACTTTAAACAAATTAATTTGCAGATATGATATTTGATCTATTAAGGAAGAACGAATTGGAAATTAAAACTTCAGAATTATTTAATCTGTGTATTACAAGATGGTTGTTATTCAAATTAGAGATGCAATAACTAAGAGAACGATTTTGTAAATGCCTCAAGATGAACAAAACATAGAAACATGTCTAAACAAATCAACTTCATTATTACTGGTAATTAACGAGACACGATTCAATTTCACAAAGCAACCAAAGGAAACACAACAATTATTCACACAATAACAACTCCTCACAAACACACAATTTTGATTTTAAAAGTTACACACACACATCTAAATTCTTATAACAAGCTTTAAAATCCACCCCTGAGCCTCAACACAAGGTGCAGAGTGGACTCCTTCTGGATGTTGTAATCCGCGAGTGTCCTTCCATCTTCAAGCTGCTTCCCAGCAAAAATCAACCTCTGTTGGTCTGGTGGGATGCCCTCCTTGTCTTGTATCTTCGCCTTTACATTGTCGATTGTGTCAGAACTCTCTACCTCTAAGGTAATGGTTTTTCCGGTCAGGGTCTTGACAAAGATCTGCATGCCACCACGAAGGCGGAGGACCAAGTGCAGGGTGGACTCCTTTTGGATATTGTAATCGGCCAGCGTCCGCCCATCTTCGAGCTGTTTTCCAGCAAAAATGAGCCTCTGTTGGTCCGGTGGGATGCCCTCCTTGTCCTGTATCTTTGCCTTCACATTGTCAATCGTGTCGGAGCTCTCCACTTCCAAAGTAATAGTTTTTCCCGTCAGGGTCTTGACAAAAATTTGCATTCCGCCACGAAGACGGAGAACCAGGTGCAGGGTCGATTCCTTTTGGAT